AGTTGAGTCTTGAATGGGTGTCTACGTCTTTGCATAATTCCTGTTCCACAGAAAATGTGCAAAGAGGGTTAGTTGTAGACTCCCAATTTGGTCTAGGCCCCAGATCAATTGGGTCTGGTCCAAATGGGTAAGCCCATTTTCATTTTATTTTATTTTATTTTATTTTTTATTTTTATCTTATTTATTTATTATTACTATTTATTAATATATATTTTTTATTATTGTTATTATTTATCTATTAATATATATACTTTATTATTATTTATCTATTAATATTTTTTATTTATCTAATTATTTTCTTTTAGTTATCTATTAATATATTATCTTTATTTTATTTTGTTTATTTTTTCTTTTTTTTTTCTGCTTACCCGATTGGGATTAGGATTAGGATTAGGAACAACTGAAATTCTGACATGAATTTGGTGCTAGCAGAGTTGGGGTTGGATTCAAAGATTGAATCCAAATCTCAGAAGGAATTGAGATTAATCAGAAACTCTTCTGATCAATCAATATAAATAGGTGCTGGAATAGAACAGAAAGGACACTGACAGAGAGAGTGAAAAGAGAAAGAAAAAAGACGTTCAGAAGGGTCAGAAGCAATTTTAGGATTTTTTTTAATTTTAGAAAATTTTAGGTGAATTTTTTCTAGAAATTTCTGGAAAATTTTCAGATTTCGGTTGAATTTTTCAACCAGCTACCCAGTTTTTGATAACTATTTTCAGAAACTGACCAACTTTTCGATGAACCTTCAGTAAAAAACCCAGATTTCGATAACATTTTTCAAAATCCGACAAGATTCAATCAGAGTTCTTCGTTCGGGTAGAGAGAGAAGAGGAAAGAAAGGGAAGAAAGAGAGAGAGGGAAGGGGAGATCTGTTGAAAAATAAAGGTTAGAGCCTTTTATACCTGTTGAAAATGACGTCGTTTTGGCGTTACTATTCCCAAAAGATCCGCACATTTTGAAATCGGGTGACCCGATCCGAGTGCCAACTCGCGTTTGACCCGCATGTGACCCGAGTGCGAGTCGTTTTCTTCTTCAAGCTGAGTCGCTAAGCCGAGCCATTCCAAGGTTTTTTTTTCATTTATTATTATATTATTATTATTATTATTATTATTGTTTAGATTAGAATTATTTAGTATTTCTTAATTTATTTTATTTTATTTTATTTTAGATTTTCTTTAAATAAAAATTCTAAAAAATATATTTTTGAGGAGAAGTTGAAAGTATCAATTTTCCTTGAAAATTTTCCTTGAAAATAAGTTTTCTAAAAAATATTTTTGAGGAAAAGTTGAAAGTATCAATTTTTCTTGAAAATAAGTTTTCTAAAAAATATTTTTGAGGAGAAGTTGAAAGTATCAATTTTTTTTTAAAATAATTTTCTAAAAAGGTTTTTTTTGAGAAAAAGTTTTAAAAGTGTCAAATTTTCTTGTACAAAAGCAACGAGTTTTTGAAGATAAAAGGATTTATACCTAAAGCTGAATCATTTTTTTCCTTTATTTTTGCTTCTTAAATTTTTTTTAATGTTAAATAATCTGATGATAGAGTCTCTGCAAGTGAAACAATAGTTTTCTTGCATTCTCTTGAGGTGAGAGAATTTTTTCAATATTCTGCTAAAAGTATTAGAGTCAATTGAGAATAATTTTCAATAGTTAATTATTGATAAATTTTTAAGGCTTATTGGATAATACAAAATTAAGCTGGTATCATCTTTTGATGGACGTTGTGAGGGTGCTATAACCTTCCTCACACGTAACCGAACTCTCGAACCCTATTTTGGTTAGTAGATTTGAACCTATTCTTTTAGGGACCTTTAGGCTTAGGTGTTCCTTAAAAGGATAGATTCCTTAGATGGCCAATCGCACCTAGATAAAAAAGATTGGTGGCGACTCCTTCAAGTCAATGTCTAACGATGGATTTTCGGATCTAGACGTTATGACATCGGTGATTCTTAATCAATCTTAATAGGTTCTTTTGTACATTTGAAGGAATCTTGATAGCTTTTTCGCAAGTTACTGAACATTCTTGGAGTTATTAGTGAATTTTGTATAGAAGTGTTGAAATTGTTCAAGATTTGTGATGCCACACCTTAAGCTTAAGAATGTGTTGAATCTTGATAAAATCTATATAAAATTCATGCAAGAATCAAGCAAGGGAGGTTGGGTCATGTTAAGGGTAAATTTGAAATTTCAAAGTTTAAGTGTAAGTCCATGGTATTTTATGCACGCTCGCATGCATGAAATCATTATGGATGACATGGCAACTAGTCTAATCTCATTGACCAAAAAAGTAGGCTTGTATATTTACATGGCATGATGACTTGGTCAGAGTTTAAATTATGTCCATATTGAAATAGTCCAAACCTTCAATTTTCCTAGTAAAAAAAGAAATTCCTACTTTAACTTGGATTTTTTTTATTCCTATTTATGTAGGAATTACATGAAACAAAATCGGATTCAATAAAGGTGACATATAGAAATTCAAAGTAAAAAGTTCTCTTTTGTTCTCCAAGAGTTTGCATAAACCAAAAAGTTTATAAGACAGATATAAGAACCACACCAAATATGAAAGCTTCATACTCTGAATTTCAAGAAACCCTTCATACACCTATCCATGCAATCTTAAGAGAGTTAAAACTTTCAAGAACTCCTTGTTATCATCTTTCTAAAAGGTTGCAAAGGGAGATTCCAATTGAACCAATTCTACTTAAGAAGTTATGTTATCTATTCTAGAAGGTTGCTAAGATCATCTTATGTTATCTATTCTATTTAAGAAGTTAGAATTAGACCATCTCTTATCTCCTTTATAAGAAACCAAAGTTGCACTACTTTATTCCTTTTTTCTAAGAGATTTAAATGAGCAAGATACCTTCAAGAAAAGCCAAATTAACCACTCTCCAATATTAGCCAAAGCAAGATTCAGTTTAGATTCATCATTTGAAGAGAGGCAACCTTATCCCAACAAAGATTCACTTTAAAAAAGCTTGCTCACTCAAGGAATTTACTCTAGCTGGAACAAGAAATTTTCAAGAGAGGAAGTTCAAGCCAACGGTCCATAGCCTTAAGGTTTCTATATAATCTTTCTTTATAAATACCTAATTTTAGGCATTAGGAAAAGCATGGTTACGGTGACAAACTAACTTATTATATTTTAAGCTTTCTTTAAATTCTTTTTCTTTAGTTTTCAAGTTTTATCCAAATTGTTTTCAAATTATTCAAGTTTCTATTTAAGTTTTAATGCAATTCCAATTTCTATTGTGTTTCAATTCAATTCAAAGCTCCATATTGTTTTAATGGTTTAATAAATTAAGTAAAATTTTCTACAATAGTTAATAAATTAAATAAAAAATTGCATATCATTTTAAAATATAAGTAAAAATTTTATTATCATTTAAAAAATTAATTTATTAATCTATATATAATTTTCTTTCTATTGAAAAAAATATTTTGAATCTATATTTATTAAAATTTATATTTACAAATATTAAAAAGGTAATTAAACAGCCCTTATAGCCATTAATTCAGTAAGGAGAAAATTCGAGCTACTGAAAATACTAATTTATTTTGTATAAATATAAAATTTTTAATAGAAAATATATTCAAAATGGATTTTTTTGTAGAAAAAAGAATTTTGAATAGATTAATAAATTTATTATTTACAATAATATCTAATTTTTTATTTAATATTTTAAAAAATATGGAATTTTTTATATAAATTTTTAAAATGATATAAATAATTTTTAATTAATTTTTAAAATGATATAGAATTTTTTAAAAATAATTTTGAAAATTTTAACTTAATTTTATTTTCTAAAATTTATTGTCTATTAAAAATATTATTTATTTGATTAATCATATTATAATAAAAATAAATTATTTTAAATTATAATATCTTATAATAAATATTTTAAATATAAAATAATTTTTTATTTAATTATTTTTTCTTTTTATAAAATATATTTGGAAAAAGAAAAAGAAAATATAGGAGAAGATGTAATCTTTTAATAGAAAATAGATTTTTTGATAGAAAATAATATTTTTTGTTATGATTTATCAATAAAAAAATATTTTTAATACAAAATAATTTTGTTTATTTTTAATTTTTGAAAATCTATTTTTTATCAAAAATAAAATTATAAAACTGATAAATTATTTATTACAATAAAATATAAAATATATTATTTTAAAATTTATTTTTTAGAAAATATATTTGAAATACGAAAAATTGAAATAGTTGTGTCTTTAAATTTTAAATTTTGAACAAATTTTATTTTTATCTTTTTGTCTTTCATGTAATATATTAATTGACGTTAATTTATTTACCATCAATTTAAATAATTCTATAGATAAAAAATTAAAATAAAATAACTTTATACAGTTAAAATTCTAATTAAGACTTTTAAAAATTAAACACAAGAATAAAATTTGACACAAATGGTGTATTAATCATGAAATTATAATAAGAAGAGAGTTTACGCGTAAAGGGGGACACCGAAAGACGCGGCCTTGACGGTCAAAGCCGAGAAAAAACTAGCTGCAAGCCACTACACCTGTCGCTACTGCTAGTGGCTGGCTACTTCATACAAATTCAGAGTCAAAGCTCATAAATGTAAACCATGGTTAGTGGTGGCATCTATGTTTTGTTGTGATTAAAATGAAAAATAAATTATTTTTATTATTACAATTAAATTCACTTTTACTAATTATAAATACATTCTCATAAAATATTTTATATTTTATTTATTTAACAATATGTAAGTGAATTTACTCAAAAAAATTTAATTATAAAATATTAGAATAATTTTTTTAATAAAATATTTTTAACTTTTACATTATCATAATTAATAAAAAGAAATAAATTTATAATTATTATAAATATGTACAAAATACATTAAAAAAATAAATTTATCAAACTTTTATTTTCTTCCCATCATTATTCTCTCTCATCTCAATATCTCATTTAGTAAATTCAAAATTATTATCACCTTATTGACTCATTATCCTAAGCTGATACTGTCAGAGGCATCTGCATCGCACTCCAGATTCCACCCTGGTTAGATTGGCTTACCTTTGATCAATTTCCGTACGCTGACGCGTATCCCTGTCATTACGACGCGGTTTCTGCCCCTCTACCCCGCACCGCCCTATTTAAGCTTACTCTGCTTTCTCTCTCTCTCTGCTCCTTTTTTTTTTTTAATTTCTTGTGCTAAATCACTCTCTTCTTTTGGTTCCAGCGAAATTAGAAGAAAATCACAGCCAACAGAACTACTGGACGATTCTTTTATTCTGAAGCTTTGTTTTTTTTTTTTTTTTTTTTTTCTTTTTTTGCATTTTTATTTCCGCAAGAGAAGATAATAGTTTTTGTGGAAAACAGAGAGAATAGCAGCACTAGATGGCGTCATCGGAAAACCTAGCGAGCATCGAACCGTGGACGTTTCGTTCCAGCTTTGGTGATTCCTGGATCTCTGAAGCGGTCGCTCGCGATACCGAAACTCTGACGAGAGCGCTGCAAAAGTCCATCTCTAATTCCTTCTCCAACACCGAGTCCCTGTCTCCCCTCCTCAGCCTCATCAACTCTAATACTTCACCTACGCCCAGTGCGTCAAACGTTTCGGGCTCCGACCTTGAAACCGCACCGAAACGCCAGCGAACTGCCAACCCTCCTCCCACTGGGAAAGTCTCTAAACGCAAGTCCCGCGCCTCAAAGCGCTCTCAAACTACCTTTATAACAGCGGATCCGGCCAATTTCAGGCAGATGGTGCAGCAGGTGACCGGAGTCAGATTTGGTAATGGACAGATGTCTCTGAGTCCGATTCTGAAGCCAGAACCTCAAAGACCGGGTAGCGGGTTGCCCAACGGTGTTGTGCCTGGATGTCTGCCTACGCTAGACACGTCGGCGTTCTTGTTGGATCACCAGCAGCCATCTTCTGGAGCAGTTGTTGGGTCCAGATTACTTCCGTTTCAGTCTTCTGTGATTGCTGAGGGTGTAGTTTCCACTGGGGGTACCTTAGATTGTGACACTTTTCCTAGCTTTCCCACTCTAGAGTCCTGGAAAGTTTAGGGTTTTATTTTTTCTTTTCAATTATCTGTTGGATGTTTTTTTGTCAGTACTTGTGTAGTTCATATGGGTGGAGCTGTTTGTAGTTTGGGATGTTGCCTACTTTCTTTTTTCTACTGTAATATGGTATAGTTTTTTTCCCCTAATTTTGACTCCATGATGCTCTGGATAACACATACGAAAATGGGGTTAATTTATTTTGCAAGTAATGATTTTCATACTAGAAAGTTCAAATATCTTTGGGGATGTAAAAAGATATCAAAGCGGGACAGAGTCATCAAGTTGGTATTTCTCTGTATTATTATATGGATTTTATCCTTTTCTTCCTTCCTTCCATAACCAAAGAAGAACTAAGTGAGTCGATATTAACTGATTCATTTCTCCTATCCACCAGGTTTCGAATTTTCACTTCTACTTTTTTATTAACAGCGATTCCTATAGTTGAGAGTAAAACGTTTGTTAAAAAAGAAAGAAAGAAAGAAAAAGAAAAAAAGAAATTTAATCAAATGAATGACATATATAATCAAATATAAATTCTAACATTGAGTTTTTCCAAAAGAAGCGTAGTTTAAAATCCTTTTTACAAAAATAAAAACAGTTTTAAACTTATGTCTCTTATTATTAATAAGAGTAAAGAGTAAAATTATCTATGTCTCTGGCTTTTTCTTGCTTGCTGCCGTTTCATATTATCCTTTTCTTTCAATTGGTTTTTGCTAAGCCTAGAAAGAGAAAAAGAGAGTTCTCATCAAAGAACTATTGTGATGATTCATATATATCCTATCCACTTTTTTTTTTTTCATGATTTTATGATCATATTATATCCTGTTATATATATATATATATATATATATATATATATATAAACGATATGGTAACAACTATATATGTTATTATGAATTTTTCTTAAATTCATGTTGTCCTTAATAATGAATATATTTCCGTCTTCATGAGAAATTATTTGAAGAATCATGTTATAAATTGGAATATTAACTCTTGAAATGCTTATGTGTAACTTTTAAATAAGAAGATTGCTAACATAAGGAACAAAAGAAAGAATAAAGACTATTATAGCCAATTGTTCATGAGATGAAGTTAGTTGTATTCAAAGGAAAGACTTTAAGTTAGAGCCATAAAGGTAAGGGAATAAAGTCATTAAAATGACTTACATCTTCTCAAAGGAACAATACACCAATAATAGGTTTTAACTTGTAACAAGCTTTTGCAAGGAACAGTTGATTACATATATAAATGAGTCAACTGCCAATGGCTTTTGAGTACATTGGCTTTCAGTTTAAAAAGAAGTCGATTGCTCTATATTGGGCAATTGACTACAATATTTCAAAAATGAAAGATCAGCTTTTAGAAAGAAAGCAAATTTTGCTTGACCAAAGCAATCAGTAGCCCATCAAGCTTTAAATTGATGTAAGTTTTGAAACAACAAAACATTAAGTTAAATTTGATAATTTTTCAATTTATACCATTTAGCAATTTATTCCTTAAAATTATTTTTGATTAAATTTTTTTGAAAATTAAAAAATTTATTGGACCTTAATTTTTCTAAAAAAAGATCCACCTTTTAAAGGAACATTTTTGATAAAAATGTGTTTGAGAAATATCAATTTTTTTCTCTGTCAAAATGCCAAAATAAGCAAAATTTGTATGAAGTGATGAATCCCCCCATGAAGAGGAACAATTCCTTCACTTTCAAAATGGTTATCCTCTTTTTTAAAGCATGAGGATCGATCCCTAAAGAAAAAGGATTGATCCCTAAAGCCTTGAATGCTTCTTTCCTATTTTCCAAGTATAAGGATCGATATCCCTATTTCTAGAAAGCTCATTGTTTGTTTTTCAAGCACCAGGGGATCGATCCTCTTATTTCTAATGACTATATTTTTTGATCTAGAAACATATGATCTATTCCCTATATTAAAAGGTCAATCCCTTTGGTAGGAAAGTTCGAATAAAGAAAATTGGTATTAAAGTTTTTTTCTCTTTTATAGATCTAACAACCTTGAGTAAAAGATCCTATGGCTCAATGTAGTTTCTAAGATGGTGAAAAAGTCCTCACAGCTTTCAAATTAGATAAATATAAGCTATTGGTACGAAAAATGAGAATGAGGGTATTCATAATGGTTCATGATATTTAGAGCATGGTTTATAGTAGAAAAAGGGCTTGAAACTTTGTCCAAATATGCAAAGTACCTAAAACAAATACTAGATTATGCTAAGGTAAAGTGCATTCTCTATGGAGCTCTAAACTTCTACAATTTCAACTTGGTCACAGATTACTCAACCTTTAAGAAGATATGGGAGAAATTAGATGAAATAAATAGAGACAAAAAGATGGAGAAGGAAATTGAAGAAAGATCTTATGAAAGTCAATGCTCAACTACTGACAAGACAAATGAACATGAGAGTTTGAGTGAAAAACAACACTTTAACCAAAATGCATCATACCTCATGGCTTTTGAAGTTCTTAAGGTAACAGTTAACTTTAGTGATTTAAACTCTTATATTGATGAATCACAAGATGGTTTTAATGATTTAACTATGGAATTCAAATCAATGAGCTTGAAATATAAGAAAATGATTTCAAAATTGAATTTTAAAAATGAATTTTTGATAAAAACAAAAGATGATTTAGAAAGTCAAAATGAGAAATTGAAAATGAATTTTTAAGTTTGCCACAAGAAAAATGAAATGATAGAAAAAGAGAATTTAGATTTAAGAATGAAATGTGAAATGTTGATAAATGAAAAGTATGAAGTTTTAGCCAACTCTCACATACTAATATAACCAAATGTAATTATTGTAATTTCCATGGCTTATTATATCCACTTGTCCTTTTAGAAGAAAGATTTCATTTTGAATTAGGCAAGTATGGATTCTTTATAGTGATTACACTAGAATTTTAGTATTTTTATGCTTATTTTGAGTGTAATTTTACTTATTTTTTGGCTTAATCCTTTGGATTTTTAGCAAAATTACTCCTAAATGCACATTTATCTCATGTGTAAATGCAAATAAAGAAAATGAAAAATTTTGGATAATTCTTAATACATTTTGGAGGATTTTTGGAGCAATTTATACAAATGACCTAAATTAGTTTTAATAAGCTATATTGCTTTTTGAGGGAGTTTTCTTGATCCTTGCTTCTATGAATTTTTTTTAGTTTAATTTTTAGAAAATTTTTAGTGATTTTAATGTTAAAGTTGTTAATTAAATATCTTGACTTGTTGGTAGTCAAATAAAGGGAATGAAACATGCATGTGGCAGCAAAACTAAAAAAGAAAATGCTATTGTCGTGACTTCTTGAAGCTTTAAGTGGTGTATTGCTTTGGTGCTAACATTTTGGCATTTAAATAAGGTCTTAGGGGGATAATGAGCTAGCATTTTGGAAGGCTTACATTACTTATAATATGGACTTCTTGAAATCGCAAAATGCATGAGAAATAGGCTTGCAAATGAAAGGGAGTTTGAAGAGCCAAATAGCTAAGCACAAATGATGAAGCAAGGATAAAAGAAAGCTATAGAAAACCACTTATTTGTAGATATTTTAGAGAGATTTTTTAGGGCTCAATTCACCACTCACATGCCTATAAATAGGAGAAGAGCTAGCCATTTTAGCTTGGACTTTAGCTTAGGATTTTATTTTTCTGTTCTTTAGTTTTTGCACTTTTCTTTTATTGCATTTTACTTTCCTTGCAACGAAACAACTTTTGATCTTCATGTTTTTCTATTGATTTTGATTGTACTTTTACATTTTTTTGAAGTATGTTTTATTGTTTTTTACGATTTTGGTAATGAAATTCACAAATTTTATTGATTTCCAACTTAAATCTTCAAGTTTTCTCATTAATCTCAATTCTGTTTTTGTATTTTTGCACTTGACCTAGTTGTAGTGTTTTCTTCAACACTCAATCATTTTGTACTTGTTTTTGCTCTAGTTTTTTCACAGTTTCATAACTCATTAGGTTTTAACATAGTAAAAAATTAGCATCAAATTTGTTCCTAATCAATTAGTTGATTGTTGCAAATTTCGACTGAAAACTTAAGGGGATGTGATCCTATTCATTCAATCCAAGCTTGAGTGAGATTCTTCTCTCTTCTTGGTGAATTGTTTGATTCTTTCAACCTTTGATCTCTTATATTTACTTGTTATCTTGCTTACTTTTATTTTGTTGTAATTTTATTTCATGATTTTGATGGCTGTTTGGATAAATTTTGTTAAGCATGCTCTGTTTTTTATTTATTTATGCACTATTTGGATCTTAGTTCATTGAACTAGTATTCTTCTTGTTTGCTATAATTTTTTTATTGAATCTTATGGTAAATTTGTTAGTAAATATGCCCTTAGCTTAGTTCTAATTCATTCTCATTAGAAGTCTTTAGATCTAGCTTTTTCTCTTCATGAACTAGAAAATTTTGATGCAACTTACATTCTGTTTTGATTTTTTTAGTTCCTTCTTGCAATTTCCTTTAGTTTTTGATCTTTTCTTTGATTTCACATATTTTAATTTAGCTGATCTTTAAAATTGCAATCCTAAGTTTAATTCATTTTGCTCAATTTAGGTCTAAAACAATAGCTAAATGTTTAAGTTTTAGAAATTTCATCAGTTTCAATTTTGCTGTTTTGAACTAAAATTTTCAATTTCTTCTTAAGCTTTAGATCTTCAATTCATGTTTTCATGTAGTTCTTTTAATGATTTATCAGTGTGCAGTGCATATTCACTTAGTTTTATATGACTTAAAGTAGAATTTCCAGCATCACAATTGATTTCCAAATTTTTTTTTGTATTTTTAGTTTCTAATTTTCCTTTTGTAGTTTGCATCTTTGAATTCAAAATCTACGTTTTTGTCATGTTTATAGATTAGATATTTACTTGCTTTTACAATTCCCAACTAAAATCCATTCACTTGGTTGGAATTTAATTCAAATTTCAGTTGTTGAAGTTGTGGTCCTTTTTATCCTTGCACATTGTTTGCAGTCATTCTTTGCTTATTATAATTTTTTGCTTTCTTGCTTTTTCATGTTCATTCTAAATATGCTTTCACTTATATTAGTTCACTGTATTTTTACCATTTATATCTTGTTTGGTGCAACTTTTTTTTTGTTTTTCCTTAAGTTAATAATGTAGTATTAGTTATAAGTAGTTATAATTAGTTAATTCGATTACATTGTTTTAGTTACTATTTTTGTTTGCCATTTTTAATTCTTAGGTTAGCATGTTTACTTTTTTATTGGACCAACTTTAGAAAGGTAGGGTGATAATAGATACTTAGCCTAGTAATTTCTTTACCTAATCTTTGTAGGATGATATCTTG